GAATTGGAAAAAAGAATAGAACAGATTTGATTAGAAAGTCCCCACAGTTTTCAGATTTTACCTTATTTATTAGCCGTTAGGGATGGTGAAAATTTTGCCTGGCTAGATAAAGAAAATATTGAGTATTGAGAAGAATTAAATTTAGAGAAAGTTAAGAAGTTAATTTTTGCTTCGGGGTTAGCAGAATATTTGACTAACGGACAAATTAAGGATTTAAAAGATTATTGTCTAGGAGTAGAAGTTGGTCTAGGAACCCATGGCAAAAAAAATATTGGCGGCAAAACCATGGAAAAGGCTGTAGAAACTCTGTTAATTAAGAATTGCGTTGAATATCAAAAACAGGTGGCAGTAGATTTTCCGGTGAATGGTAAAAAAGAATTTGACTTTCAAATTAGGTTAGGTGCCAAAGATTATTATCTAGAAACTAGTTTTTTTAATACTGCCGGCAGTAAAGTTCAAGAAGTAATTAGGTCTTATTCCGGAACGGTATTGGAAAAGGCTCAAAATAATGAAATAAATTTCTTATGAGTATTGGATGGCAAGGGACTAAAGAGTTGCAAGGAACTCTTGAAGGATACTTACTTGAAAAATAAGGATTTTATGTTTACCTTAGCAGGATTTGAAAAGTGATTAAAAACATCCAACCAAAACAAGAATTAAAAGCATATGAATAAATTAGAACAAAAAGCCCAAAAAAGTAAATTAAATGTAGTGCGGGAAAGCACTACGGAGAAATTATTGACTAGTCAGAGAAAACTTGTTTATCCAGTCAGTTTTAGGTTGGATGCTAATAATTGAGAGAGATTGAATAAGTTGTTAGAAAAAGTTAATGAAGGAAGAGCCAAGAAGGTTAATTTGACTCAATTATTAAAGGCTTTGATTTATCAGGGGCAGTTTTTGAAGAAGGAGGAGTGGGAAAAAGGGTTGAAGGAGGTGAGTGGTTAGTAGGAAGCAATAAATGTTTTCTATAAGATATGTAGTGTTACCCAGCAATACAAAAGTGTAAAATATATTACAACCTTTTTAATAATTAATTTCCGTTATGACAATCAAAAGAACTTTTAAATATCAATTAATAAATTTGAGTAAAACGACAACTAATAAACTAGAGCAGAACCTAGAAATTAGTTGCCAATTTCACAATTATTTGCTAAAAGAGTTTAGGGATAGGGATAAAAGGGGAGAAAAACAACCTACCAAATACGAGTTAATTAACTCCATAGTTCAAATAAAGGAAGATAACCCCATTTTTAGGCAAGTTCATTCTACCACTCTCCAAGAAATATCCAAGCAAGTTCACGGGATTTGAAAAAAGAATGAGGAACTTAAAAAATTAGACCCTAAAAAGAAGCATCCTAACTTCAAACCAACTCATAGATATAATTCCTTTACCTACTCCCAACCGATAGAAAAAAGCAGTTGTGGTTATAAGGTGGATAATGTTCCTTTGTCTGAAAAAGTAGAAAATAGAAAGTTAAAATTGTCATTTGGAAAAATTAATAATCGTTATTGTCAGTTCATAATAAATATTCGGATGGAAAGAAATATTGAAGGAGACATAAAAACTTTAACCATCAAAAGAAAAAACAATAAGTATTACACTCTATTTAGTTGTGATAATATCCAAACTAAGTCTTTACCCCTGACTGGGAAAATAGTAGGAATGGATGTTAATCTAAATAAGAAATCATTCATAACCCTGTCTAATGGAGTTAAATATAAGCATCCCAAACATTACAAAAAGTTGAAAAAAAATTAAAAGAAGCACAACAAAAATTAAGTAGAAAAATTATTAAAAGTCAAAACTGAAAAGATGCTAAACTACAACTTGCTAAAAAATGAGAAAAGGTGGTAAATCAATTCAAATGATATTCTTATCAAATAGCAAACGACTTGATTAGAAATTATGATAAGGTAGCAGTAGAGGATTTGAAAATTAGAAACATGGTAAAGAATAGATGCTTATCTAAAAGCATCCAGCAAGCAAGATGAGGAATTTTATTCAAATCTATTGCCGAGAAAACTGAAATCGTTGCTCGGCAATTCATTCGAGTAAATCCTAGAAATACAACTCAAACTTGTAGTCTTTGTGGTGAATTAGTTAAAGAGAAATTAGATTTAAGACAAAGATTATTTAAGTGTTGAAATTGTGAACTTGAATTAGATAGAGATATAAATTCTGCTCGTAATATTTTGAATAGAGCAGAATTTGGGTTTGACTTAAACCCTCCGTTGCAAGACGGAAAATAATTGTAAAATTAATTGTATATATAATTGTTAGGTAAAAATTAGTTATGAAAGTAAATAAAAGTAATACAAATAAAGAAGTAATCAGAAAACCAACTAAAAAAATTGATGGTCGCTCGGCTACTCGCACGGGAAGAATAGTCCAATTTGCCACTAGCGTAACTGTGGGTTTTGATAATACTATCAGACAATTAGCCCGGGATGATGGTTTAATGATTGTAGAAATATTAGAAAAATCGTTATCGTTGTATAAAGAACAAAGAGAGAGAGAGAGAGAGAGAGAGCAAAATCAACAAAAAAAAAAGGCAAAATAATCAACTAGTTCCTTTTTTATTGGAAGCACAAGAGGAGGACAATGAATTATTTACTCGAATTTGAAATTTGCGAGAAGAAATTTCCAGCCTAGCCCAAATTGATCGGATCACCCAAACCGAATTATTAACCAAAGGTCTAGAGTTATACCAAAAAGATAGAACAAAGAAGAAATCTTTAATTTCTCAAATACAACAAAATCTTTTATTACAAATAGGTAATAATTAGGTATTTATTATTTTTTTTTAAAGGAGCGAAACCTCCTAAATCTACCACAATCTGGCTAACGCCACCAAATAAGAGTTTTTCGAATGTTCGTTTAATTTATCGTGATTCGAATTTTGCTCTATTTAACAAAAAGTAAAAAGAATATGGTAAATATACACAACAAATTAGTCCCGACTGGGAAAAAGAAATAAAACGTTTAAGCCTAATTTTAAAAGATGACAAAAGCAAACAATTAGAAAATGTATAGAATAGACCGCAACAATTACCACTTAAAACCTAAATATAGTAGTATTCAGACTCCACCAGCAGTTAGCCAATTTATTTTTGAATTACTAAAAGATAAAATTCCTCCCAATGGAATAATTTTTGACCCTTGTTGTGGAAAGGGAAATTTGCTATCTCCTTGAAAACATACCGGTCTTTATGATTTTTCGACAGTCGGAAGTGATATCAAAACTAGTGTTTTTTGGTTCAATAGTTCAGAACATCCTCGCAGGGGAGGAATTGATTTTCTATTGGCAGAAAAGTCAAAAGTGAATAAGGAATTTAAGCCAGCCCTTATACTTTGTAATCCTCCTTTTAATGGGATGAAGCCTAAATTGGCCCCAGAAGTATGATTAGACAAAATTATTGAATTATTTGGTAAAGAAATTCCTATTGTCTTATTTGTCCCCATGGGATTTAGAGCCAATTTAACCTTAACCAGCAAAAGAAAGATGAAATTTGAAACAGGGGAATATCCTCCTAT